GTAAAAGAAATTTAAACAGCTATAGTACATTTCTCTCATCCTTTAACATCAATACACGGACGGTTATTCGTGAGTATGAACGGATTTTATTAAAAATTACCAGACATAATGTCTGCAATTTATTCAATCAGAATCAGCCTCAAAGAGAATTTCCTGTACATACGTACATACACACACACACACATATATATATATATATGTGTGTGTGTGTGTGTGTGTGTGTGTGTGTGTGTGTGTGTGTGCGTGTGTGTGTGTGAAAAGTGTATATATGTGAGTTTGTCTGACGATCGCTAAAGTGTGAAAACCAGGGTCACAAACTCACATCTATCCAAAATAAATATATATATATATATATATATATATATATATATATATATATATATATATATAAAAGATATATATATATATATATATATATATGGTCTGGGGCACCTTCTCTTTACCTCAGGAGTTCTTGACAAGATCTAGAGACGGATATGTAATATAACTGGCCCTGATCTGGCGTCTCGTCTACAGTCACTCTCTCACAGACGCGCCGTCGCCTCTCTCTGTCTTTTCTAGAAATACTTTCATGGTAATTGCTCCGCTGAGCTGCTTTCACTGGTTCCCAGACTCCATGAATTCAAGCGCCCTACGAGGCTGGCATCCCGCTCCCACCCTTACACTGTAGAAACTTTTAAATGTAGCCGTCTCTTCTACTCCATTAGCTTCATACCTCGCACCTCTTGCCTGTGGAACACCCTTCCCAATTACTGTTTCCCTGAAAGCTATAATCTCCAACTATTCAAATGTAATTTCAATCGACATCTCCAGTTACCTTGATCTACCCACTATCCTTCTCCTCATCCTTTCTTCTATCTCTCCTATCTGCTCTCGCTCCAAATCTTCTTCAACCCCCTGCATCCTAGTGGCTTCACGCCTTGCTCGGGGCGTAATGCTTAAAAAACATACATACACACACATACACACACACACACACACGCACACATATATATATATATATATATATATATATATATATATATATATATATATAAAATTTTGGCAACAAAAATATCTTACAACTTAATACTATATATATAGCGCTTTTATCATCACAAAATGACCCTTAATAGAAATTACGCAAATGGCTCAAATCTCTCAAAGTTTTACTGGGGTATCAAAACATATTACTACACACCTGTAGTAAATTGGAAATTAGTCGCCGAAATCAACCATTTTCCGGCCCGGGGGAACGATGCAAGCTACGTTTATTGTGGGAAAATAAATATTCATCCTCAAAAATATTAATAATTTGAATCTACTTATTAAGCTGAATGATCCTATGTTAGGTTGTAAACATAGAATGATGTTTATCTTAAGATATTGTAATCCTGGATAATTTGCTTTTCGTCTGTTCATCTATATTTTACGGTATATAGCGATTATCTACTTTTAATCCTTCAAACGTTTCCTTCTCCACGAACAACAACCTGTGTTCCGCGTTCAAATTTTAAATGTAGTTCAATTTTTTTTTCCTTATTTTCTTTTTTACAAACGACTCTTAACTTGATCCCACTTTCTGTATTTATATCCCAGTATTGTTTTGGGGCAATTTTTGTACTATTTTAATTTTGAGCTATGAATCGGCGTTCTTGCCATGAAATCCAGTATTTTTATTCTAAAAAAACAACAATGCTATATCTTGTACCCGACGTTTTGGGTAAGCAACGAAACTTAAGTCGCACACCAAATGTATATATATATAGCATTAGGTTGTAAGTATTTTTAGTGCCAAACTTTACTATTTTTCCGCAGTTTACTGGTGGGAAAGCATTTTAGGTAGGCAGTTTTTTGTCATAAAGTGCTCGATATCAAAAGGTATACAGAGCGTTAATAGAATTAATGTGGAGAAATATATATATATATATAGTCGAATCTCCCGTCGAAATTCGACGTATGAGGGTCAAACAAGTCAGTTTTCAGGAAACCGACTGCCCGACACCGGCACATGAGATTTGATTATAGTGGGGAAGGTTTTGTGCAGGACCAGCCACACTTTTTGAAGGGACGAATACAGAGACCTGGTGCACTAAGTGCCACTAGGTCCCCAAACGACTCTCCACAGGTTTTGAATTCAGATTTGTCCTTCTCCTAGACCAGTTGCCATCCAAGGCTATAGAACCCAGTCTGTCCTGGTATTTTACCCATAGCTGGAAGGAGAGGAAGAAGATTCATACCTTTCCCAAGGGTATTAGCACGTAAGCGAATGTAATGGATTCGACTGAGGAGGCACGGTAGAGTAATGGATAGCGACTTGGATTGAGGAATCGCAGAGTCGAGTTCGAATATATATATATATATATATATATATAACATTAGGTTGTAAGAGATTTAGTGCCAAACTTTACTCTTTTTCCGTAGTTTACTGGTGCGAAAGCATTTTAGGCAGGCAGTTTTTTTGTCATAAAGTGCTCGATATCAAAAAGTTATGTGTTATACTGGAACACACCTATTTTATGGACTCTCCCACCTATAATAAGTAGTAGTAGTCGCTGAGGGAGTCGGATATTAAAGTATCAGCCACCACAACTAGATCACTGCGTCATTACCTATTATATCAAGTTCCTTACGTTTTGTACGTCGAACCTATTTTAGGACCGACTTACTGAAATACAAGCCTCCACGGTGAAACTACTCTACAACATTAAGACAAAGCGTTAATAGAATTAATGTGGAAAAATATATATATATATATATATATATATATATATATATATATATATATATATATATATAAACGTGTGTACACAGGTACATGTACACTTATATCGGTGATATGTTATTAATAAACTCAAATATTGTAAACCCTAGGATTTTCAAGTATTTTATTATTTCTAGAATACTTTCTATGTTATGTATTTTATAAAGTGTTCTATCTTTTCTGTACGTTTGATTTTGTTGTGGGGAAGGTTTGATGTTCGTATATATTTAAAGAATAGTTATATTGTGTGGATTCCATGTTGATGTAATGTGTTTTTAGAAAATATAATGGCAGTATTGAATGCTGTGAAAAAATATAACGTCCGTGTGTGTGCATGTATGTGCACGTTTGAACGTGTGCGTATGTACACATGTGTAGGATGGCATGGTTATTTTCTTTACATAATTTTTTTGTCTCTTTAGACCCCACCTTCGTCTTTTTCTATCCTTTCTATCTTTCTTAAATGTAAACAAATATTTACTTGCCATTTGACCAACACGAGGAATGTTAAAAGATTCATGTTAAAAAGATAAAAAAATAAAAAAACAAATGAAAACTACAGACAAAAGTTCATTTTCTCCAGCAAGACATCACTTCTGTATTTTACTGCTACCAGCAAGCAGAAATATTTCTTCTCCTGATGATGGCTATTTTGGCCGAAACTACTCGAGGAATCTAAATGAAATAATAATAAAAAAACGAAAGAATATTAATCTACAACCCAGTGTGTCTGAAGATTTCAATTTTTTAATATCAATTTTTTTATATTTTTTATTGTTCAAATTATATATATATATATATATATATATATATATATATATATATATATGCGTGTGTGTGTGTGAGTGTGTGTGTGTGTGTTTCTAGGATGTATAATAGTATCCGAATCCAAAGTGAAAGTGATTGGACGCGTTTCGCCGGATAAAGCTTACGTTCTCTTTGTCATCATCAGCTTGACTAAAGGAAAGGAAAAACTATAACTAGATCCCAAGACATTTTCCTCACACATAGTTTTGTCTTCCTTTTAGTCAACCTGATGATGACGAAAAAGATATAAGTTTTCTCCGCCGAAACGAGTCACTAATAAAAAAAAAAACATTTCCACTTTGCGTTAACACACACACACACACACACCACACACACACACACACACACATATATATATATATATATATATATGGGAAATTGTATCTCCACTGGATTAAATAATATTTATGTTAGTCACACCACAAACTCGCTTTCACGACGCTTGACTCTACATTTGAATGATAATTCTAACATTTTTAGGCATTTAATGCAACATGCTTGGCCGCGTACACAATTCCAGAAAATCCTTGTTGAAAACACAGCTATACTTAAACATGAAAACAATAAACAGAACTAAAAATTATTGAAGCTATATACATAAAACAGTTGAAACCCAACCTAAACAAATTATGGCATCTCTACAAATATTCTTAAATGTCTATAATTGGTAACAGAAGCCATTGGTTTATACCAACGGATTCCTATACTTAATACTTCTCGTTTTCCCACTCGCTTGGTCATGTGTGACGTCACGAGCTGCGATGCGATTTTCGCTTCCGCGTCTCGTATACACGAGTTTGTCGTTGCTTTGAAATTTTTCATGCAACAAAAACAGACTATCATTATTGTTTCGTCCGTGTATTGTTTAATATATTGAAATGTAATTGTCATCTTTGATAATGGTTTATGTAATCCGAAAGCTTAGATAGGATTAAAACATGTATCAACATGGTGATTTCCTTTCGTCTTTCAATGATAATGTTATTAAGCTTATCAGACAATATGAAAGGAACTTACTTAAAATAAATAGACAAAACCTGTCTATATTATTTAATGAAACATGCATCAATGATATATATATATATATATATATATATATATATATATATATATATATATATATATATATATATATATATATATATTCATACATACACACACAGACTGTTTCGCTGTATCACAGCTATTCAGTATAGCTAGACGTCAAATTGCTTCATGCCGTGATCGAAAGCCGGCCGATTTGGCATTAGTCATAAATCTTACCCCTAGGCAATCGTCGCACGGCGGTGATAAACGGAAATTTTAACTTTTTCTCTACGAAATAAGTCAGTGGCTCGGAGAGCTCAATTCAGTTAAAGAGCATATGAAAACTTATTAAGTTTTCCTTTTGTCTATTCATATATTTTATTTTACAGATATACTCTCTTCTTCTTCCTCTCCCAGCTATGGGTTAAAAAGTTAAATAGCAGAACATAGATAGATAGATAGATAGATAGATAGATAGATAGATAGATAGATAGATAGATATGCGTGCGTGTAGTAAAATGGATTGCGGCTGAAAGTGAAAATTCGGAGAGCCGAGTTCAAATTACAGCTAAATTCGGTATATTCACATACAGTCAAATAACCCCAGGAAAGGTATGAACCCATCTCTTCTTTCTCATCCCCCAGCTATGGGTTAAATAGTTAAATATCAGAACATACTGGGTTCTATAACCTATGTTGGATATCATCGTGGAGATGGGGACTCGTATATAATCACCCGTCTCCCGGCAAGGCTGGGTCACTCGTGGTGATCGCTCGAACCATGGAAACGCACAGTGACTGAAATACTTCAGTCGTGTAGATTACACCCACTTTCTTTCTAATACTTTCCGCATATTTTAAGGGTATAGAGAACCATGATAGTTTACATCACGAATCGACATGGCGCTAACCCCCCACCTCACATACCCACACACAAATACAAACACATACACACATTGTGAGCAGGTTTATATAATATTTCGGGTACCAGATTTTTCTCTAGTACCCCAATTACATGAGTTTAAGCGTGATACTAGATTGGCATCTACATCATAACCGTTTAGTGTTGAAATAGGAAATGCAACCGCCACTTCCACTCTAACAGTCTCTTTTCTCGTACTTCCACCTCTCGTATGTGGAACTCCCTCCCCTTTTCCTGTTTCCCTGATAGCTATAATCTCCAACTATTCAAATGTAATGTCAATCGACGTCTCCAAATGCCTTGATCTATCCCCTATCCTTCTCTTCATCCTTTCCTCTATCACTCATATTTGGTCTCACTCCAACTCTCTGTAACCCGTTGCGTGCTAGTGGCTTCCCACCTTGCTTGGATTGAAACGCTTAAAAAAAAAAAGAAGGAAGCCTTCATCAATAATGGAGTGAGTGAGTAAGTGAGAGATAGATAGATAGATAGATAACAGTCGCCTTGAGAAAACTATTTTCTTCAAAAATTGTTTCAATAGAAAATTTTTATAAATTTTAACCAATATGCTCTGTTAACGAATGCCGTATGTTTCCTTATAAGGAAGCGGTTTATATTACCATTGCCAGGAGCATTACCATAGAAGATAGAATCAATTACTATTAATTTATATAGGGAACGTTTTAGCCGTTAATGTGAGACTAAGCAGTCGCAAAGAGTTGCAAACGTAGAGTTGAGCCCCAGACATTCTAATGGGGGGCAAGGATGGTTCTCTGTGGTGAGTAATAGCAGTTTTGTTTTTGAGGCGTTAATGTTAACGAACCAATTCCTTCTGCACCTTTTGTTTGAAATAGCGTGAAATGTCAACATTTTCTCTTCGAATTACAAATGCTATCCTTTTTAGTCGTTGCCGCTGTTGGTAGTCCTCAACTGATCTTGTGTCTGTTATTTAAAGAGCTCTTTGTTTGTGATTATGTAGCGCCAGATTCAAAGAAGGACGTTCTACACTATGATCTAAAGGCTTCATTTGTTCGAACCACTTTTTAATGATGATCTTAGAAAATGGTTGACCGTTAATTTGTTAACAGACTTTGATAAGAAATATAGAGATTTACTAAGCGTAGCTTAGAGGTGGCACAAGGCCGAAAGTATGGAGCACACAATGAGGATAGAACTAATTAATGTAGCACGAATAAGTTTGCTAAACATTATGTCACGTACAAGGTATAGCGATTTATTAATCGTAAATTAGAGATGGCAAAAGGTCGAAAGTACGGAGTACCCAGTGAGGATCGAACTCACTACTCTATCGTAATTGATCTAACAAGAAAAACATGCTAACCATTATTCCACGTACAAATGCTCTTTGGTGCCCATTATAATGATTTACGAAACGTAGATGCGGCCCAAGGCCGAAATTATGGAGCACCTATTGTGGATCGAATTCATTACTCGATCGTAATTGATCTAGCGAGACAAACTTGCTAATCATTACATCGCGTCAAGTAGCCAAGTGCTTTTCTAAGCGTAGCTTAGATGTGGTACAAGGCCGAATGTATGGAGCACCCATTGAAGATCGAATTCATAACTTGCTAACCATTACATCACGTCTAAGTGCTCGTTTTGCGCTGAATACTGGATTTACTGAGTGCAGCGTATATGTGGCACAAGGCCGAATGTAGGGAGCACCCAGTAAGCATATGACATATTCTAAGCAACCTAATATATATTTACTCTAATCCGTGATCAACAGGTGCTTCATGAAACTGGTTCGCCAAATGGGTTCATCCATACAGGACCATTGTTGTTCGATTTGCACTCGATACCCGAGCAATGTGGACAGAGGAAACGTTAATGAGGAACTGTCTGAAACAGGCGAATGGATCAATGAATGAATGAAAAATAAAAAACGATTACAAAACTAACAATTTGGTGGTGATCTGAGGTGGGGGCTGTCTGTGAGAACGGAAGAGAATATAATGAAAAATAAAAAAGGGTACCAGAAGTGGTCCCTTCGTCCAATTGAATAATTCTAGATAGTTTGGGAGGTACCACTAGTTTGTCTAACCCTAACCCAGAGGCATAAATTCTTGTTCCTTAGTTGATCGGTTAGTTAGCACGTTAGTTACGTCTTGCTAATAGTTCATAGAGAATGAACTGTTCCAATTTAACTGCGTGCAAAGACAGAAAAAGAAAGAAAGAAAGAAAGAGAAGGAAAAAGAATAGATGGACAAAAAAGAAAGAAAGAAAAGAAAGAAAAGAAAAGGGAATAAGAATAGATGGACGAAAGAAAGAAAAAAAAGAAAAAGAAAGAAAGAAAAGAAAGAAAGAAAGAAAGAAAGAGGAGGAATAAGAATAGATGGACAAAAGAAAGAAAGAAAGAAAGAAAGAAAGAAAGAAAGAGAAGGAACAAGAATAGATGGACAAAAGAAAGAAAGAAAGAAAGAAAGAAAGAAAGAAAGAAAGAAAGAAAGAAAGAAAAGGAATAAGAATAGATGGACAAAAGAAATAAGAATAGATGGACAAAAGAAATAAAGAAAGAAAGAAAGAAAGAGAAGGAATAAGAATAGATGGACAAAAGAAAGAAAGAAAAAAGAAAGAAAGAAAGAAAGAAAGAAAGAAAAAAGAAAGAAAGAGAAGGAATAAGAATAGATGGACAAAAGAAAGAAAGAAAGAAAGAAAGAAAGAAAGAAAGAAAGAAAGAAAGAAAGAGAAGGAATAAGAATAGATGGACAAAAGAAAGAAAGAAAGAAAGAAAGAAAGAAAGAGAAGGAATAAGAATAGATGGACAAAAGAAAGAAAGAAAGAAAGAAAGAAAGAAAGAAAGAAAGAAAAAGAAAGGATGGAAGGAAGGAAGGAAAAATACAGGAGTTGATAACGCTCTCATGTATTTAACGTCTGCTTCACTGATTGACAGAAAAGAAAGAAAGAAAGAAAGAAAGAAAGAAAGAAAAAGAAAGAAAGAAAGAAAGTGAGGCGATAACGCTTAACGTTTAACATTTGTTTCAGTGAAAGGAAAAATGTTAGAAAATTACCAATAGGTCTTAACATTTACTAGAGTTACCGGTCTTATTTTCTAATAATGGCGTCTTTGGACATCCGTATTTACAAAAATTGACACGTTTATAAACACATAAAATAAATTATTTCTAAAATATTGAGGGTCATTAAATTGTAGTGAGTTTTTCCATTTATGATTACTAAATAACCTTCTTTCTTTAAATCCAGTCTCCATAATAGATTTTATACATAAAAGCAATTAAATCTTTTATAATTAAATAATTTCTTAGTTTTATTGCGTTTATTATTGAACGATTCAAAACAATTTTTTTAAACTAGGTGTCCTGTTTGAACATCCATATTTACAAAAATGGCAACGTTTTATACACGCATAAAATAAATTGTTTTTAAAATATTGAGGGTCATTAAATAAAATGTAGTGATTTTTTCCATTTATGATTATAAGTACACTTGACCACTACAAATTAATACAGAATTTTCAAAGATTTAAAAGTTTATACATTATTTTAATTTAAACTTTTAAAAATGAAAATAATTCATGTAAAAATTCAATATTCACCGATTTTTTTTTCACTTAAGACAATAAAAGCCTTTCTGATTAAATCATTTCTTAGTTTTATTGCATTTGTTATTGAACGTTTCATAACAAATTTTCTGTAACTCGGTGTCCAGTTTGGTCAAAAGATTTCCATGATTTGAATTCTTCGAGGTCTTGTCTGTATAATTAACTAGCAGCATGGCCCGGCGTTGCCCGTGTTTGATTCAAAAAACGTATGGCTCATACACCAATCGCTATCACTTGACTTAAAATATTTTTGCCCTTCCTTGCCTTTAAAGGAGTGCCCTTGCCGTGCTGATGTTGCTACGTGTCTTACTTCTTGCCTATCTCACACTGCAAATTTTTTCTAAGCTCTATACTAAACATTAAATCTGTTACGAAAAAAGAACTAAACAAAATGAACACAAAACGATCAGCTTTAAAAAAGGACTCGTAACTGGAAAAACCGAATGAAAAAAGAATGTTAACAACAAACACTTTTTCCCACCCAACCCAGTTCTGCGGAATCAGAATCAACGTTGAGTTTAAGCAAGCGAATGAGCCAATTGGAGAAAAGTGACATGCAGATTTAATTTTTTTCCCACTTGTGACGAATGCAGCTATCGATATTTTTTGCATGCTAGTTAACATTCGTGTCAGTCAGCTGTTGGCTCTCACGCTGGACAATAGAATCTTCCTGCCTATTCGCGGCAGCCAGCTATAGGCTCTCACTCTGGCCAGTAGAAAATGGCCGCAAACTACATGAAAAGTGCCGTAGAAGCATGAAAAAAATCGATTATTTTCACTATCGATGGGAGTTGGGAAATGCAAAGTCAGTCTTGGCCTTCCCGCTAGCTTGGAGCATGTGCATGTAAATTTTGGTGCAAATCTGTCGAAAATTTCGGCCTTGCATTCGTTACACACACACAAACACACATCCTGC